ATAAAACCAATATTAAAAACGTAATCTAAGAAAACATTTAACAATTTTTGACAATATTTCTCAGTTCTCAGTCAAAAAAATGTAAATTTAAATTATAATAGAATTCCGAAAAGTTAAAAATTTTAATTCCTTTAAGTTTAAACCCTTAACCCTTCAAATTTAATAATTAATTTAAAAAAAAATTTATAGTCCAATTTATTAGGTCAATAATTTTCTTCTTACAATTAATAAAAATTTTCATTATAAAATTTTTATTTAACACTGAAAATGATAAATTTAAAATTATTAACACATTCATATGTACACTCATATGCATGAATACACAAATATGCAATATCTACGTAGTGTCCACTTTAACCACATTAACCACAATTACTTTTCAACTTTCGTTTATATGTATGTAAATATATTTGTGGAATGGTGTGTTTTTATATAGATCAGAAATGATGTTTTAATGCAATTAAATTCCTTCCATGCTGTTAACAATATCAAAAAGGATATTCAATTTCGAAGGAAAGAAAAAAAAAAGAGAAAAATAAAAATTAATTTCCTACCTGAAAGAATTTTTATACATACATATGTAACGTATATATAGGGGTATATAAAATACATATATACAGAATGATTCAGCAACAAGTTAGGAACCATATACTATCGGATAGGGGGTTCTTAATTAGCTTATTAATGAGTAAAATTTTAATTTGTAACAAAGTGTCGAATCGGAAACGTTTATCAGTTACAGGGATTTTAAAAAATTTTGACGAATTTTTGACAAATCTATATTTTTTTTTTGCTTATATTATTTCCGTTCCAGAAAATATAGAATCTTCAAACAAACAGTTTTTGAAAGGAGGTCTATTAGAGAACTTGAAATAAAGAATAGCAGATAATTTGGCTTTACAATTTCGCCAAATTTTCTTAAAATTCCTATAGCTCGAAAACGGCTTCTGTTTGACATTACGAGTATCTTCTGAACAAAATTTTTACTCATTTTCTACACTCTATCCGAAAGTATATGACTCCTAATTTGTTGCTAGATCACCCTGTATATATAATATATATGATAAAATTCATTCTGTTTGTGAAATAATATTGTGTATAACCTTTGAAATTCAATTCTTAAAATAAATTTTTAAATAGGATGCATGCGTATATTAAATTTTCAAAGTTTTTTTTTTTTGCTCATACTTTAATTTAAAATACAATGTCTTCTATTTAATTATTTTACTTTATAATTATTTTTAAAATTAAAATGCATTCGATTCAGTTTACTGCGCATCTAATTATATTTAATTTTTCCTTCCTTTTCCCAGTAATGTTAATTATTATGCTGGAGACAGAGAGAAATTAAATATAGTGCCGAAATAGGCAAGGGCAATAACTATGAGAAATTAAAAAAATTATATTTCATTTTAAGTATAACTGCTAACTATTAATATTATAAAATTCGAAGGATGGATAGAGAATGGCTGCACATAATTGCGGCCATATATGCATCTGTTATGTGATTTCAAACTTTTTCTGGATAATAACAAGGATTCTTATTTATTAATAACTGAATTATTTAATTATAAATTCATGAATTATTTCATGAAAAATTACAATGGTTCAGATATTATGATTAAATTATTTTGCGTATTAAAGAACAGCTACTGTGAAAATTTGTACACATACAATTATATAATTAATTTAATGGGATCTGTAAATGCAGCAGACTTAAATTCTGTCTCTGAATAGCAAGTATAAGCGAACAATTTCAGAAATTTTAGGGCAACTATTTAAGAATGAAATTTTTAATAATTTCTGGCACAGACAGAATGTAATTCGGAAAAAATTCTCAAATTTCCTTAAATTGATGTTGACTCAGATTATGTATATGTATGTCTACATCTCAGACTCATGTTTTCAAATATTATACAAATGTATTTGCAAATTTAACAAATCCCATTGAATTTACGGGGCTAATAATGATCCCATAAAGCTTTTTCTCTTGTAATTTTCCATTTTCATATTACAAACGAATAAGTATAATATGAAATGCAACAAATAATACAGAAATAACCATTTTATATGTGTACATCAAAGTGTATTCCAGAATATATTGAAAATTTTTCTATGAAATTTAATTTCAGATTCCAAAAATAAAAAACGAAAATTACCAAAATTCTATAGACTTTTTTATATTCTGCTCTGCTTGTAATTCATTAAATTCATTGAAAAACTGAATAAAAGGTAAATTTTCAAAAGAATTTTTCCAAAAAAAAAAAAAAAAAGAAAATATTGTTACCTTTAATTATCCTAAAATTTACTTTCAAAGTTTTTGCATGAAAATTGCAATGAATGTTATTTTACTCTATAAATTTTTAAATTATATCCTTTTGAATATTGGCTGGACAAAGACAGGATATTATTTTTTTGAGTAACATTATCAATACTAATTTCATTTATTAATTAATTTCACTTCATTTATAATTAAATTTAATTAACAAGCTGTCAATTTTGCATATGAAATTCAATTAATTGAAAATATTTACAATAAAGCATTCCAATTTTATGCTAGAATGATAGTTTTTAAGGTATTTTTAAATTAATGAAGAACTGGCTTAATACTAGGTTAGGTTAGATTAGGTTAACGCGGCCAACCGAAAGGAACACATAGACCATCCAGGCTTGTTATGGTACCGCCGGATCTCTCCTTAATACTAAGTCTAATATAGTAGTTTAAACGAATGATTGTTGATTGAAATTTTAATATTAAGTTCTTCCGGAAGATTGTTATCATTAAGAAGAAGTTTTACTAAAAACTTACACCCACAATATCCTTACAATGGAAATCCTCTCTTGACTCAACTCTCGAAATCATTTTCAAATCCTTACGGAAATTACAAATTTTAAAATTTTGATTTATTTTTAAAAAGTTTACCTGCCTATTTTTAATCGCAATCTAGACCTTGTAGGTGTTTCTAGTTAACCTGGATTTTAATTTTATAACAATTTTCCTTCATTAATTTTTTTTCTAATATTTCTGCAATTAACTACCAAAAATATTGCCGAACAAATTTTATTAAATTTCAACAAAAAAATGTTTTCGTAACTCTTAATTGCAAATTTCTTTTTGCTGTAGTAAAATTTTACATAGAAAAATCTTTTATAATGGCTTACAAATTATTACATTAATTATTTCCAAAACAAAAACTAAATTTGTTCTGCTAAAACTATAATAAATTCTATTGATTATTGCCTTCCTTAACTGTATGTACGTGTAAGAAAGGAAAACTGTAATGGTAACCTTAACACCAAAGAAGGTATAACATTAGATATTTTATATGTGCTCAATTTAGTTACATTATTGTAAAGCTACAAATTTCCTAATTTGCAATATACCTAACTAATTAGTTCTATTTTAGTAATCTTCAAGAGTTTAATGACTTTTTGAAATAAAGAGCCACAAAAGAGAATATTGTTTTGTAAAATCCAAAAGAAAAACAATGAAATTCAAAACAAACTCCCAATAATTAATTATCGAATAAAATGAGCAATTTTCCCAATTCCAAGCGAATTCAAAAGGATAAAATAAAAGTAAGAAAAAGCAATATGTAAGAAAATTATTTGGAACCTTGAAAAAGTTTTATTTAAGTTATGTGTTTAATTAGACGAAAAATTTTATTGTAAAAGTTCAAAATAACAATAAAAAAAAAATAACAAAGAAAAATTTATAAAAAAATCGGGAATTTGGAGTGAATAAAGCCGAGGTGGTCTACAATGTATTTTACTACAGAAATATAAATAAATAAATAGAGTCGTATTAAATTCATTTCATTGGCTTATTAGGACTTTTTAAAATTAATTGATACCTTAAAATTTTTGGCCAACACTTTTCTTGTTTTTTAATATTAAGTTAATTCACATTTAAACTTTATTTAAAATCAGACTGCCTACCAAAATAAAAATTATTACAAAATATATTTTCGAAAACTCAGTTCTAATCTAAATCAAAACTGTATCGTATTCCAAAACACCAGAGTCTATAACATTATATAATCTATAATTGCAGCTCATTCTGAAATTATATGTTCCAAAATGCAATCACAAAACTGGAAAATTCATTAATTCGAAAAGCTAAACATGGTTTTTAAAAACTGTTTAGGATTATTGTACATAAATTTTATCATGAACTCTCTTATCGAATTACTATATTAGAATATGTAAGTACTAAATATGAGGAACACAAATAATACGAACATTTAAACTGCTTGTGAACAATTCTGAGGCAATATATATAAAAAATTTCTACTATTACATAGTCTCATATTAATCAGCTATCAAAAACTCTACTCAACTTATTATGAAATAATTTTTTATATTAAGAAAATTAGTTGTTTTATTAGTTGGTTTGGCAAATATTAAGTTGAAAGAAGAAAATTAAATTTGCACTTATACTAGAAATTGACCAATTTCTAGTATAAGTGCAAATTAAATTAAATATTCGAAAAATGAAAATATTTTTACAATATATTGCTCGATTAATTGCTTCTAGAAAATATGCTTGCAAACTTCCATATAAATCAATGACATAAAAATTAAGCCATTAATTACATTCAGATTCTATTAAAAATTTTTACTCTTTATAGTTCAATAAACCAAAATTTATGGAAATTCTTTTCAATAAATTCTGTGCAAAATTCTGTAAAAACTTGTTATATCAAAAATAAATAAAATTTCCAGAAAAAAAATAACAAAATTACATAATAATTAATTTAATAAAATATTGTTATAATTTTTATCTTTTTAATTTTTACAATAATAATTAATAAATATTTTTTTTTATTACACAAATAAAGTCTTTGAAAAGAAATAAATTTTTTTTTTACATACAATTAAATATTCACAAATAATATTATTAAATAAAATCTTTTATTTTTTTGCATAAACAATTTGAAAAACAAAAGAAAAAATAGAAAGTTTTTAAGGACAAAACTACATTTACATTACAATAATAGTAATATTAATAATTATAATAATAATGTAATTTAACATTTAAAAAAAAAACAAGCTTAAATACAAATTTGTATAAATTACAAGAAGTCAGATGATTCAATTTTATGTAGCCATTCCTTAACAGCACGGTAATTGAATTTGAAAATTCCTGAACATTAAATGCCCTCTTTCTTCTTAAATGATTCTAAGGCAAATGATCATTTAAAATTTAATAAATTCAATCATAAAATAAATATTTTAATGCTTGGGACATCTTTTACATTTAAATAAATCAAATAGAAGCTAAAATAATTATAATTTATAACATTTCAGAATATCTTAGAACCAAAAAATTTTGTCATAACTTAATTTAAATCGAATTTAAACAAATGGTCCCGTAAAATAAATTTTTCTTTGCTGTGGTAATGGTTTGGTACTTAAACCAGCATTATCAATAAAATCTACAAAATTTTTTGTTGTTTTTAAATTAACAACACTTTGACGGCATGGTGTTTGATCACATATCGTTGGAAATTTATTAATTACAGTTAATGTAGTTTCTTGTTTTTTCATACTATCACTTAAATTTACATCTTTTAATTTATTTTCATCTATAACATTTGTTGCCTCATGATTCTTAATTTGATTTTTTAAAACAGAATCATTATCATCATCATTATTTAATTCCTCTATTACATTATAAATTGATTCTTCATGACCAGTAATATTTGTTGTAGTAGTAGTAGTAGTAGATGATTTTTTAGGTGATGAATTATTACTTTCTGGATCTGATCCTGGTATTGTTTCTAATGTTTTTCTATCATCAATTGTACGTATATTTTCTTTAATTATATCTGGTTGATTTGATAATGAAAATTCTTCATCTAAATTATATTCAATACTTTGATTAATATCATTTGCTAAACGATGATGATCTCTTAAATTTCCGTTATTACCAATACCAAGACTATTAACATTTCCAATAATATATTCATTAAGACAACCATTTAATACATCAGCAGCTTTAATAATATCCGGACGATTTGATGATTTACCATATTCAGCATCTAAATTATACCAATCGAATTCTGCTTCTAATGTTGAATCTTCAATTTTTGTTTGTTGCTGCTGTTGGGGTTGTTGTAAATTCAATTTATTATTATTTTGTGATGATGATTGTTTTTGATTTAATGAAAATTGATTATTTTGTTTTTGTTGTTGGTATTGATTTTTTATTGATGGAGATAATTGTGTTGATGATGATAATGTTGAAACTTTATTCTGTTGCTGATTTAATTTTGTTGAATCAATTGATTTCAAAGGTCTACTAGATGCAGGCTTTACTGTTGTTGGTAAGGGATTAACAATTGGTTGTAGTTGCTGCTGTTGGTTGCCTAACAAAGCATTATTGAAATTTTTTGTATTAATAATACCATTTGTGATACTGTTATTGATACCACAATTACTTGTGGTTAATTGTGAAGAACCTTTTAATATTGGCAATAGTTGATTTGATTGTACTGGTTTCCGTTTTGTTGTATTAATGGAATTAAAAAAATTTGAAGTCATTTTATTATTATTATTTGGACTTCCTGGACTATTTAAAGCAATCGTTGTATTATTAGCTTGTTGAATTTTTTTATTTATTTCTGCTAAAATGTTAGGAACATGTTTACGCTGAACCTGACCAGGACTTTTCGGACGATAAAGTTGAAGTGATTGTGGTCTTAATTGTTGTTGCTGTTGTTGTAATTGCTTTTGATCTGGTTGTTGTTGCGGTTGTTGTTGTGGTGAATTTATCTGTTGTTTTTGTTGCAACTGAAGCGATCCTGGCAATTGTTGTGTTTGATTTAAGTGATTACAAGTATCAGTACGTTTACAATTTGTATATTTGCATTTCTTAGGTGATTTATTACTTGATTTATTTTTGGACGGTGCAATAATTGCTGCAACATTTGGTAATTTTGGTATATCAGCAAATATTTCCTCAGCATCATCAGATGTTTTCTGTGACATTGTATCACTATTACTATCTCCGGAAACTGACGTAGTAGCCGAAGAAGCAAAAGAATTTGCATCATTTGATTTATGAACATCAGCAACAATTTGCATGGTTTTTATAGCAACATTTACTTCTGATATAGAACAATAATCAGGTTCAACTGAACCATATTTTGTGTAGTCTTTGTCACAATCAACTTTATCTAGTAATTCTTTAGTTAATTTTGTACCTCCATTTGAATTATCGTCAATTGGTTGTAATGGCGACATTACCTCAATTGAATGCCGATATGTTGGCGGTATCGGTGACATTTTTATTCCACGTTTGAATTTAATTAAATTAGCAGGTTTCGGAGGTAAAGCAGGTGGTTGTTTAGTTTGTGATTGTTGATTATTATTATTATTATGATTTTGTTGCTGTGAACTTCTTGTTTTCATATTGTTGTGTTTTTCATCTTGGTCAAGTTTAGATTCCATATCGACATATAAATTTGAAGAATTATGTTCGCTTCCAATTGGTTCATATTCATTACTATAAATGCTTTCATAATTTAAGTTATTTGAATGATGTTCACTTGTTACTGAAGAATTTAACACATCAGAAAAAGAACAAGATTTTTCTTCAATAATTTCGTCATCATCCCTAGGTACATGAACCATACTATTTTTAGTAGAAAAATGAACACGTTTTCGGGAAACATTACTGCCACCACTTGTATTACTTAGAACACTGTTGACGTTGTTAATACCTTTGTTGCTGCCACCACTACAAACACTAAAGCCGCCATTATTACTATCTATTCCTTCTATTGACATTGGACCATTACAACTGTTATCATAATGATTTTCTTTATTATCAACAATTCTATCATTAATACATTCTTCCATCGATTGTTGTAATAATATTTGATTAACACATTCAAGCACCGGATTAACAGCATTATAACCATAAGATTTAGTACGACAGACACTACTATTTTGATCATCATCACCGTCACTGGCACTTGCATACCAATCATCTGTAGATGTTTCAAAATCATGTTTAACTGATATTTCAGAAAATTCTTTTACATTTGATGCTGTCGTTACAACACCAACATTTGCACCTTCATATGATATGTCACGTGCATCATCAAATTCATCATCTTCTATGTCTTCATCAATATCATCGTCTTCAATACCTTCATCATTTGGAGAATTTGTATGTTCATGATCTGTTTCAGGCCCAGAAGATGAAAACTTCTTTCTACGACCACGATTTTCAGCCTCACTACTATCAAATTCAAATGATGATACTCTACGAACACCATGTAGCCGTTCCATAGCAGATGAAAATGTTTTGTCTTTTTTGTATTTATTATTACTACCGCCCTGATTAATAAAACATCGTTCATAATTTAATAATGTACTACGATTTTCATCTTCTGATAAATTTTGATTATTTTCAATTGAGGGATCATCAATATTCATACATCTGGAACGCATATATTCTCGAAATGTACCAAATGTACGTTTACTTGTATAGCGTACACTTCGACGTGCTCCATAAAATGATGATGATAATGTTTCATCACTGGACGAACAATGCTCTGTACTAATATTATTTTGGTTATTATTATTATTGTTGTTATTATTTTCACCTAAAACATAAAATTTATTTATTATTTAAAATTATTAAAAAAACAAATTATTTTATTGTGTTTTACCTTTAAAGGAACCTCTACAATCTGTTATTTTTCCACTGGTTTGGGTCCAATTATCACATTTTTCATTTAATCCATAAAATTCTTTCCGGCAGTTTGTACAAAAAAATGCTTCTGGATATTTACATTCCATATCATTAAATTCTGTCTCCAAGAGATTCTCAGGATTGCATTCAGGATTTTTCTCTGTTAATTTTTCCCGTAGTAATTTATTTAATTTTACTAATTTTGCGATCTCATCATCTTTTTCATACAATTTCTGATTGATCACTTTCTTTTCGGATTTCAACTTTGCCTCGAAATAAAGAAGTGATTTAACAATACGTGACAATTCCTCATTACGTCGTGTCTTCTCATTTTGTAACTCCTTTTCTAGGCGTTGATTTTGTTGATCTAAAAATGTTACTACATGTAATAACTTTTTCCGATGTAATACTGAACTTTTTGATGTGGTGGTTATTGTTTTATCATTGTAATTTTTTGTTGTTTCATTTGTATTTCTGCGCTCATTATGAGATAATGATGATGACGATGATAAGTTATTGGTACCAATTGATGTAGCTGTCGTTGTAGTTGTTGAGGATGATTGATCTGTTGATGATTGAGATGGTGATAGAGATGGCATCTGTAAAATAGAAAATTAAAAAAAAATTAATATTAATTATAAAAAGTATTCAAAATTCTCATTAAATAATAAAAATTGCAATAAAAAATTAAATATTTAATTAACAATGAGCACCACTTTCGAATTTTTACCGATTTCCAGATTTTTTTCAACATCAATGTCATCTAATTACTCTCTAGTTAAAACTAGGAATGTACTTCCAAAATATATTCATTATCAATTCAATATAATTGGAATAAAAACCCTAAACTTTTTTAATCTATCTTTGCCATTAATTAACTTTTTATTTCCAATAAAATTCACAATTTTATATTTATTTTCTTTCACCCTTAGGTAAAGTAAATTTTTAATATTGAAAGATTTTTTTTCTCATTTTCCGAACGATTATTAGTTTCTACCCAATTAATTATTTGTTAGCGGCTTGTAATTTTATATGACGTAGCTATCTACTTTTTTTTATGTTTATAAATTTAAATCAAATTTTTCCATTAAATTTAATTGTTCTCTCCTTTACAAAAAAAAATGCCGATATTTCAGCTCTACATCCTCTCTCTCTCTCTCTATCTCTCATCAAATTCGTATTGAATTGAAAATTATTAATCGATAAGAGAATTTCAATTACAATTTTGTTTTTTTTTTGCATTGTTTGGTTTTGTCCCGCAAAAACCAAAAAAAGAAGAATTTTTTTACCTGTAAACCAATTAACGTAGGTAATTTTTTTATCTATTTTTTTTTTCGTTTTAATTTTCACTTACACTTTCCCCGCATTTTTCAATTAATAGAGTAATGGAGTAAAAATTTAAAACAAATAAATTCTCTTTTCATACCCCATTTACATTTTATACACGTACGTACAGTGTACTTTAGCTAAGACAATGCACGACAACACTAACCCTATACGAAAAATGAAAAACACCCCTAGGTCGGTATAAAATGTAAATAAAATAAAAATGTGAATTAATTACAAAATAAATTACAAGGAAAACAAGTAAAGATAATGAAAAAAAAACAATACAAAAATATTTTGTTAATTAAAAAAAATATAAAAACAAGCAATTTAGCAATTCAGCGATACGACAGTTACCATTAAGTAATATAGACAAAATTAACTGTTTAACATTTAAGGTCAACACAAATTTTTAATTTGTAAACAAAATCGATATATTATATCGATAAATGGATCGATATAAACAAAAACGAGGAAAAAACGTAATGCTAACGAAACCATAATGCTCACGAATCTTTTGTTAATTTTGTAGACCGTAATCTTTACAAATTATTTAATAAGAAAACAAATACCGTAATGGATGATATTTCCAAGCGTTTGATTTTCAAAATTTAAAGGCAAACACGATAAAATGCAAATGTGCATTTGAACCGGTAAATGATGGGAGTGACCTCATTTTTAGTTGGTCTATTCGAAAAAAGTTCATTGCGACAATTGGAAAGTGCAATCCACGCACCATATGCAATCAATACCAGACAATAGAAATTGTCCAAAATAACAATATGTACCTTTACACTCGAAATAAGCCCTCACTAAAAAATATTGTTAACACATACCTTTACTTTGCAAATAGGGCGCAATTTGAACTGATATTTAATTGTTAACGAATTTCATTAATCAAAAAAAAAAATATAGCACTAAAACTGAAAATGTTAAAATAACAAAAAAATTGTTAACCCGGTATCAGTAAAATTCTTAATTGATTTGTGTGTTAACATTCACAACAGTTGACACAACTCTTATTTTTTTTTCAAAAAAAAAAAAAAAAATACTAAAATGATAAGAAAAACGGAAAACATAGTAATTAACTGATATTGAATTTAATATCAGTAATCGCAATTCACAATAATATTTTATCAGGCAATACGGTTAGATTGCAACAATATTCCCCTATAATTTTAAGATTGACTTGTATATGAATTGTCAATTTTATATTTGTTTTTGCAATATTCAATTGAAAAATTTTTGGGATTGAGAAAAAAAAAACAAAAAATTTCTAATGAATAATTTCTAATTTTAGAAATTAAGAACTTTATAATTTATTGAGACTTAATGACGGTTTTATGTATATAGTAAAGATAATGTCGAAGTAATCATCTGAAAACGTCATTATTGAAACAATTATAAAATATTTATTGCAAGGTAATAATAAATTATTATGTTATAACTATAATAGTACACAGGGTTTTGAAGACAATTCTAATGAATCAAAGCAGAAGGCAAACAGAGAAGACCGTGACTACTTACAGTTGTACGGGACAAGTTGAGATTAAGAAACTAAATTAATTATAGGAATTAAATTGTTATTAATCAAATACATGGGACCACTGCCACAAAGTTACACAATTTAATTGAATACAACATAACAGTTTTATAAGAAACATGAAAAGCGTCAAAAAATAAATTTTCTAAAATGAGAATTAGTTCGAAAATTTTTAAGGAAAAAAAATATATTACAGACTTGACAAGGTTTTAATCCAAAAATTGTTCATAGGGGTCAAAAATTAAGTTAAATTTTTCCAGCTAAAACTTCATGGAATATTAGGAAAACCACATTAGATTCTACTTTAAGTTAAACTAGTCTGTTTTGGTTCTGACATAAGTAGAATTATTTGTATTTTATATTTAACAACCATAGCAAGATTTAACTAAACAAATATTTTCATGTCATATTTCATGCAAGAAATCGGCTTCTACAATTCTTTAGAATATTAATGATTTTGGACTTTTACAATTTTTCCCATACTTTTGAATTTAACCGGTATAAAATGTCTTTAATTTTAATCTTATGCAAAAAGATTCCTAATAATATTGACGAAATTGAACTGAAATAAATTATGAATTTAAAAGAATTACTAATACACTCTAAAAGATGCAAGTACAATAAATTAATTCTTGATCCATTCCCTTTGCTTACATCATAAAAATAAAATTTCTTGTTAAATATAAATTCCAAAATTTTGTGGCATTTAAAGATTATTTCGTTTTTTTATCATTTTGCAACAGGTAAACTCCCCACACCTATTTAAAAATTAAATATCGCGTATTTTAAAGCCCTATAATTTTTATGGGTTTTTGTTTTATCTATATTCGTATTATTATTTTAAGGTCTATAAAATTTTTAATAAATTAATCAATATTGGAAAAATAAATTTTATTACAGGTATACAATCCCGAAATTTTACTGCTTTACACACACGTTATTCTATTTTTTTTATCATTTTAAAAATCTGGCTATAGATATTGATATATTATTTTTGCTATAGATTGCTATAAGTGGGTTCAATCCAGTTATGTTATACGTGAAATTTAATTATTATTATAAATTTTTAAAATATATGTATACATAAACCCGTAACATGAATTTGTGGGAAGAAATTTAAGAAATCGTTTAAAACAGGATTTTTATAAAATTTTTGGAAATTTTCATAAAAACTTTGTGTTTAGAAAATTATTGTGAAGAATACACAAAAATTCATATTACCATGAAAACAGCACAGGATAGAAAAGAAATTTTCATTACAATTCCAACTGCTCAAATCTACAATAAGGGAATATTTGTAAAGAATACTTTAGAATATAAAAAGAAGAATATTAAATCTGCTTCGCACCCAAATATTTCCATGAAAACGCAGTATTATAAAAGATCTAAAATATTTCTTGAAAGAATATTGATATTTTCCCGAATATCAGAAGAAAACTTGCTTTAAGCTGAGAAAAGACACTTTACTGATGTTTGTAAAAATGTTTATGCTATGGTAATATTCCGTTTTGTAACGCAATTTTCAAGGAGTATTACCAATATGCATTAGTTAATGTTTGAATTATACATACTAATTTCATTATAATTACAGAGCGCTAATTTTTTAATTTCTGCATGGAATGTCGTATGCCGAAATATGATAACAAGTTTTTACTTGACAATGCGACGTCATTGTAATAAGTTTTGGATTAAATTTGGGTTTAAAGACGGTTTCAAAATATTATTTTCTACAATACAGAATTCTACCTACATATTTTGTGTATTGCAGTGTTGCATACCTACATATTTGATCAAAGCTGATTTACTTGGTATTTCTGTAAATTTTAACGTAAATGAACAAATTTTCTAGAATTTTTTATCATTTAGAGATAATGTATTTTATATTATATGCATTTTTTGGGATTGCCAACTTATCTTTAATTGTATAAGTACAAGAAATCAATAAATTTCGTCTGTATTTTTTTATTGTTTTATCGTTCTTTAAATTAAACAAATTTTTTTTTATACAAAATTTACAATATTCTATGCAAAGTTCAGAATTTGTAAGTGGTTGATAAGTCAATGACTAAATATATGAATAATAAAAATAAAAGTTTAAGTTAATGACCTCTGAGTTATTAAAATAAAAATTAAAAGAAACTTCCTATTTTTTTTTCTTGAACTAATAAAGTATACACGCAAATAAAAATTATGAAGAGAAACTTATTAACTTAAAACTTAATTATTAAATTTTTATTTTATTTTCTTTTAAATAATAACTATTGATTTTATTAACAATAGAAATTTTTTTTTCTTTTAAATATGAAAAGATTTATAATGAAGAAGCCATAATAAATTATCTATAGAATTATATAGGTAGTCAACTACTTAAATATTATTTTTCGTGTTTCTATTATTTATTATAAAAAAGAAACAAAAAAATTACAATGTTAAACAATTTGCAATCATAAAAGATAGTTGATTGATAACAATATATTTGTATTTGGCTACCAACTATAACGATTATTAGTAATATAATAAAGAATTTATTTTTTTAAATACCTTAGTAGTTAATAATCTATAAATAGCACTCAATATACTAATTTATAAAACGGGTATTATAAATATCTATATTGAAAGTGTTATTGGACTTTCAATATTGTTTATTGTGAACAATACAAAAATTGAGTATTTTATACATAATATGGAGAGGTGTTAATTTTGATCAGACATAAAAAGTCATTAAAGAAATTCTTTTAAACAATAATATCAAATGTATTCATAATTATTATTATTATATATTATTTAATCGGAATTCATAAACAAGATTTAATTATAATTTATTACCATGATAATTTATATTTTGCCTATTTTAAAAAATTTTTATATTATTGTAGAAAATTGTGGTGACCATTTTTATAATATCGTCCCACATATGGAAATATTTTTGTATTCGCGTGAAAGGTACACAATGAAATCAATAAAGCAGATCAATAAGCAAAAATAATATCAAATATGAAAATAAGTAAAAGCTTTTCGTAATAGTTGGATAGCACTCAAAAACTTTCACATTTATTGTCAATTAAAACTGAACATATCTTTCATAAAAAAAAAAAATTATCAAAGAATTTACAAAACTTTGTCCTTGTTACAGTAATTTCTAAAAATCGAATTTTTTCCAAGATCTTCTACAGTGCAGAAATGATCAGAATTTTGAGATTTCAATATTTAAATAGGTAAAATGATAGACCCACCCTCCGCGAAGTTCACCACGCTTTTAAAAATTTATTAAACTATTAAAAGTTTAACAGTGTTGAAAACTCTCCACACTATTATAAACTCACCACACTCTTATAAACTCACCACACCGTCACAAATTCATCACACAGTTACTTAAAATTCTTAAATAAAAATGCATGAAATTTACATTTTAATTAACTTTTTTAATTATTTACACAAATTGTTATCGAAAACAAAACGGGCATTCTATTTTCTATTACTCATTAGAGCTGAAAAATATTTGATATTTTATTTATAAAGCGACTTGATCTAGAACAACTGAAAATTTTTGATCAATGTTATAGCTAATACAACAACGATTTCTAAAAGTACACTTAATGATTTATTGATGTCGTTTGAATGATTTATCTTCGGTTTTCATATCATAAAAAATTTCTTCGAATCAAAATTTTCTAAAGTGAAAATGAAGAATTTGGTCAAAATATTATTAAAATTTTAATTCAATTTTAGTTTAGAATATTCAACTAGAAAATAAAATTATTTTTGACTGAATTTCGACTAAATTTGCAGTTTAAATAATGAAAGAAAAGCTAAGTTAAAAACCCCCTAATATTGTGGTCACTCCAAGTCCCAACTATTTTAAATAAGAAAATCATAAATTTTATAATATTTTTGATAATTATTTTACTCAATAGAAAGATGATCATTTTCTATATTTAAATTCAACATTTCTTAACATAATTTCTAGCCATTTTTGTAAATTTTTTATTATATAAATTTTATATATCTGCTGATATACCCGTTTAAATATTGTGCGTATATGTATGTATGTAACAAAATTCTTTTCTGAATTCGATTATAAAACAAGCTTTTCTTTAAAATTTTAAATTTGCCAATTAAAATTTTTCTCATATTTTATATATTTTAATGAACAATGTTATTCTTATCTAATTCTAATATCTAATAACAGTAGATTTATATACTTATATGTATAGTTATTATTTATATGCAAATATTATTTGCAAAAAAAAATTTTATTATTTAATCTATTTAATTAAGTATGTAGGAATTTTTAGATTATTTAATCTTTAAACTTGTGGAATTATTTAATCGCTTTCACATTTTTATTTTAATTTAGATAACGAAGAACAAAAGAAGAGCATTTTTATAGCTACACAATTAAAAAAAAAAATTATTTTAAACTGCAAAAATTTCAAAATACTTAAAAAATTTTGCCGCATACATAGTATAAAACTTTCGAAAAATTTTTCATAATTTTTACAGAAATTCCTCTTTTTATTAAAATTATTTAATTATTACTAAAATATGTTTAAAATTTTTGTCGAATAAATTTTTCCAAGTTTAAGTCCGATATTTATGGATGGGAGATCTCATTTAAATCATAAATTTTTAATTGTAAAACTTAATTAAAAGATCCGCTTTAGGGATTCTTACATGCTCCATAATTCAAGAAGATGATACAGAATACAGAAAGTGCAGAAAATAAAATCGAATTACATATTCCCTTTTTCAAAATCAGAAAAAATCAGAAAAAATACTTAAAATTAAGCATGAGCCAATCAAGAGGAAAGTGTAAGGTAATGTAAATCTCTATAATAATTATCACATTTAAATTTGAACATCTTAACTATAGAAAATCAAATTATTTAAAAAGCCCTTATAAGTCTAAAACTAATTGTAATAAGCCTAAGTTAAATACATCATTTAATTTTTATTCTCATCCGCTCCTATATTATATATATACCATTGAAATAGACCTCCTAATTGTATGCAATATAAATTATACATATTTTACTTTTTAGCACTTTTCCAAAAAAATTTTGAAAAAAGTGCTTATTAGTTTCACTCTGTCCGTCCGTCCGTCCGTCCGTCCGACCGTCCGTGTGTCTGTTTACAAAACTTCTACACCCTTGAAGATAGAAAGCTGAAATGTACGTACATAGATCTTTACTAGAAACTTATTTTCGTAGAACAAAATTTTTATCTATCTCCCCCCCCTCTAGAAGTTATACCACCCCAAAACCATAAAAATGGCCTTTTTTAACTATTTGTTGCAATGAAACCATAAGCATTTTTTAAATTTTGCAAATGCAGAAAGGCAGCGGCTTGCTTTCCCTAGCGCGGTATACTACAGTTAAACTTTAGAAAAACAAAATGCCCGTTCAAATTTACCGTTATCAGTCTTTTTCTTCCAAATTTTTGATTTGGTTTTTCTTCTAAACCTCAGCCTGTAGAAGCCTAAAACTTTAAGGGTTTTTAGACATTAACAAATAGATCATTTCGTTAGAAGAAAATTTTTCAAGTTATCGCCTCTTGAAATTTGTAAAATTTGAATTTTTGACACCTTATATTTCCGAAACCGCAAACTTTTTCAAATTTCTATAAACATAAAAAGCTAACGGTAAATTCTATGACATTAAAAAATATAATTATTTTCCTTAACACACACAATTAACCCTTAAAATCGAGCATTATGTTAACCCCACTTTATATTAATTTTTGCTTTATTTCAAAGACGGCATAAATAGTTCATCCTAAATATATGCAATCCTAGAAATAGTTTTGTATATGACTGAAAATAATTTTAATAGTGTGATAGGTATACATAGACTGTATTTAAAAGCAGAATTTTCACTTGTTGAAGGGAAAAGTGTTACAATACAAACCATTGGTTTGACTCAACTTTATTATATTTAAATTCAAAAATAATAATAGTCAGTAATAATTATTATCTTACCGTATCACTAGAATTTTTATCCAATAAATTATTAAGATGATCAATTTGTAAACTATTTGGTCCCAATTCTGTGATATCAGATCTATTATCATCTTCAATTATACAATTATAGCTATCATCATTATTATTATTATAAATATTATTATTATAATTATTACCATTAATTAAATCACCATTATTATTATTAAAATTATTATTATTAAATCGTTTATTATTATTTAATTTTTCTTTATTTAAATATTCTAATTTATATTTATTATTTAAATTATCATTATTTGAATGATTATCATTTAATAATGATGTTTGTTGATGATATGTATATGTAAAATTTATATTTGGATTATTATAACAATTATTTTGTTTATCTATTTCATTTATAGATGTCTCTTGATCTGATTGTTTCCGTTGTTGCATCGTTGATGTTGACGATGCTGTAACTTCATTTTTTAGAAATTTTTCAATAAAATTTGCAGTTGCTTTTAATTTCTCTTGACGATAATAACTACTATAATTTGATTTCTTTTTTCTATTATTTGAATTATTATTTGTATTAATTAAATTTGTTAAATTACTCAGACTTTTACTATTATTATTATTATTATTGTTATTATTTAATGCACCATTATTATTAATATTATTATCATAATTACAATTATTTATTTCATTATTACAATTACTATAATGTTCTGTTAAATTTTTAATTTTAGAATTTTGATAATTTTGTAATTGATATTGTTGATTTTGTTGCTGTTGTTGTTTATCTAAAAGTAATATTGATTCTTGTTGTTGTTGTAATTCATAAACTTGTGAATTTATTAAATTAAACATGATTTATGTATTGTTGAAAAAATTAGAATGTTGAAAATCACAAAAGTATAGGTAAGTAAATGAATGACTTGAAATTGTTTTTTATTTTTTTGTTTAATTTTTATGAATTTGTTCGTTGCCGTTTTAAAAATTTACTTCAAAATAAAAATGAAACTAACATGACATTTTTCATATTAATAACGGTATATTTTTTTTATTTATTTATGACATTTGCAATTATATTTGCATTCTCTTTTAGTTTGTCCTTTTTTATTTGTTTTTTTTTTTGTAATTTATGTCACTTTCTTACTGATTATTTCCTATTTCTTATTATTTTTATTTCTTACTTTTATAAGTTTTCTTTCTAAAGTATGTTCATTCCCTTTCTCCTCCTTTCTATTTTTCTCTTCTTTATTACGTCTGTCCCTGTTGCTCTTTCTCTCTCTCCCTATATTTGTGCTGTTACTTTAGCCTGCTAAAGTAGTGTAACATTTTAAATTTCTTTTTCGTTCGTTTTTAATTCGTTTATACCGTTTTTCTTCTTCAATTCATTTGTAAACACAACACTATATCGTCGTCTCCGTATTACGTATATCGTTTTCTATATTAAAATATTTTTTCTTTCATTATTACCGAACAGTTCACCTAGATATTTGACTTTTTAAGAATATTATTTTCTTACTTTTTTTTTTTAAATTGTAGTCTTTTAAATTTAAATCGTATTAGAGAGGATTTTTTTTTTTAATTTTTATCTGTACATATGTACTTATGCACTCGTATGTATATATATATATAATTTTATATAAAAAGAATTAAATTTGTTGTTTATTTCTTCAATTTCTATTTCAAAATTTAGTTCCGTGTATAGATTCTGTATACGATTTTACATAATAAATATATATAGGTTATTTATGAATAAGGCGCCCTTGACTGAATCAATTTTCCATTTACTAAGCTCTGAAAAGAAAAATAATAAGAAAAAAAAAATTAAACATTAAAAACTACAAATTTTTAAAAATTAAATTAAATTACTGCAACATATACAAATATAATATAAATAATGGTATTCTTACTATTAATAGTATGGTACATAATGTGTGTATGTAAAAAAAAAATACTTATAACCATATACATGCTTAATAGGTTTTACACTACATTTACTTGAATACAAGATGTTTCATATAAAATGAGGAATTTGCGTTGCATTTACTCAAAAAAAAAAGCTCTACAATGAAGGTGTGAGCAATACTCAACTTTCGACAATTGGCATACGATCTAAAGTTCGGCTATAAATACTCTGATTTTCTCATAATGTATAGGTTCTCTTATAGCACTACAATATTTCTTGATTATACCAAAGTAAGTCTAATTACTTAATGGCCGAAATTGAAGAAAACAATAACAAACATTTCTTAATTTTTTTCTGAAATTCAGAAAAAATTTTTCGGAATGCATTCGCACATTTCCAGCGAAATTTTTGGCTGTGCTCCTTTGGCTTCCTAGCCCTTTTTTTACCCTGCCTATAGCTTTTTTTTTCCTCCCTTTTTTTTTAAATTTAATTCACAATTTTTTTTAGAAACGATGTGCACGATGTTTCTTCTTATTTCTAAGAGAACGACTTGAATTTTTGAATTTTTTTTAGCTGGAATTTTTACACAAAATATTCGAAATTTTTCAAAAGTAAAACACCCTGTAAATTAATTTGTAAAAATTTCAATAATGAAAAGGAAACTCAATACAAAAAAAAATAAAAACGTTATATATTAAGATTTTTTATGCTAAATGGAAAACAAGTTTTACTTTAAAAAAAAAAATATAATCTTAAATTTATTGGGGGCACACCTTTTAAAAGCATAAACAATCACAATATACAGTAATGGTAAGCGTGTATACCAGTTGTAACTTTTCCATACTTAAACATATTTTCAATCTACTTTTTAATTATTTTTTTTTTTTCATATTTTGACTTGACTTATTTTATCATTAATTTTTAAAAATGTCTGGTTAATGTCTAACAATTGTTAATTTTAATCTTTTACCTGTAACAGCTGTTCACCGTATGTATTCAACAGTATCAGCGGTATTAATGACTGCATATAGCAGATAAGAGCCGCACCATAGTTTGTCATTTCAAAAAAAAATAAAGTTGGGTCAAACCAATGGTTTGTATTGTAGCACTTTTCCCTTCAACAAGTGAAAATTCTGCTTTTAAATACAGTCTATGTGTATCCACCACACTATTAAAATTATTTTTATTCATATACAAAACTATTTCTAGGGTTGCATATATTTAGGATGAACGATTTATGCAGTCTTTGAAATAAAGCAAAAATTAATATAAAGTGGGGTTAACATAATGCTCGATTTTAAGGTTTAATTGTGTGAGTTAAGAAAAATAATTATATTTTTTAGTGTCACGAAATTTACCGTTAGCTTTTTGCGTTTATAAAAATTTGGAAAAGCTTGCGGTTTCGGAAATATAGGGTGTCAAAAATTCAAATTTTACGAATTTCAAGAGGTGATAACTTGAGAGGGGGTGGAGATGGAAAAAAAATTTCTTCTAACGAAATGAACTATTTGTTAATGTCTAAAAGCCCCTAAAATTTCAAAGTTCTAGAATATAGGATCTAGAAGAAAAACGACATCAAAAATTTGGAAAAAAAGGACTTTAGATAACGGTAAATTTCAACGGCCATTTTGTTTTTCTAAAGTTTAACTATAGTATACCGCGCTAGGGGAAGCAAGCCGCTGCCTTTCTGCGTTTGCAAAATTTCAAAAATACTTATGGTTTCATTGCAACAAATATTTAAAAAAGGCCATTTTTAGGGTTTTGGGGGGGTATAACTTCTAGAGGGGGGGAGATAGGTAAAAATTTTGTTCTACGAAAATAAGTTTCTAGTAAAGATCTATGTATATATAAAATTTCAGCTTTCTATCTTCAAGGGTGTAGAAGTTTTGTAAACAGACACACGGACAGACGGACGGACGGACGGACGGACGGACGGACGGACGGACGGACGGACGGACAGAGTGAAACTAATAAGCACTTTTTTTCAAAAAATTTTTGGAAAAGTGCTAAAAAAATAAGGAAAGGAAAGTTGGATTGTGTTTTTTTTTTTTTTGTAAGAATAACACCAATTTTTGGTTGTAATTTTAACTTGTTTTATATTTTTAAGGCGCCATACAGTGGGCATTAATAATACAAAATCAAAATGAAATCACACAATGCTTATGTTTTAGTCAAAAAACGTTATGTTTTTATTTTGGATTTTAATTTTTGTATTGAACTTAATTTTTCTGCTCTAAATTTGAAATTAATACTTGGTTTAAATATGTACACATGTATTTATGTGTATCGAGTGACAACAGTTTTATAGATTATACTAACTAATACTTAAATCCGGGAACTCTTACTGCCTAAAATGCTAATATTTTATACTTTTCTATCAGCTTATCATAAGTGGCTGCTTTAATTGTTCGCTGCTACGCTATTCGTAGGTTCCAAAAGACGTGTTACAAATAGACGTGATTGCAAATTTTGATCTCAACTATTTTAAAAATCAAATTTAGATAAAATTTTTCAATCTAAATTTGATTTTAAGGTCTCAATTGCTTTTTAGTTGGCCCACATTTAGAAAGGGTCGATAGTGCTTTATTAATGAAAATAAGTGTTATATTTTAAGAAAATAAGTAAACTTGCCCATAAATATGCAATTACATAAAATTATTTGGAATTTTAATAAAATTTAGTTAAAAATTTTTAAATTGGTATTGCAGTAAATATAACAGTATTTCTATATTGTACAGAAAACGTAATATGAAGAAAATTTGAAAAATACATTCAGAAAATTATTAAAGGAAGTGGTCGTCTCTGAGGTATTGCAACGCTTATTAAGAGAAAAGTGAATAAAATTGAACAAAAAATGATTATTTAACATAGAGTGCGATTTCAAAGATATTAGGACTTTGAGCCACGAATGTAGGACCAATTATTATTTCTTGTATAGCTCATAAAAGTTTACAATTATAGTGCACAGTTATAGTTACAAAATATCATAAATATCTATAACTTATAAACTATTATAAATTAAATTATTTTGGTTTTTTAAATCCTTTTATTATAACATCACATACAAAATAGTAAGTTTTATAACCTACAACAACATACTTGCATAGCACTTCCGTGAAAAACACTCCCATAATAATCATAAGTATATGGTAAGTGCCATTAGCATAAAATTTATCAAAAGCATAATGACCATTATTCAAAAGCTTAGAAATAACACCACTAGTATGAAGAGAAAAAAAAATTTAATATAAATTTATTTTAACACAATTTTTAATTTTTTAATAAGATTTTGTAATTTAAATATGCGGTAAATTAAACCTAAAATATTCTATTATTACATTTCGTGCTTTTCTACAAATATATCGCATGAAATATATTTGATAATACGTACATGATATTTTATTAATGTCATGTCACAATTTTCATGTTGAAATTATGTCAGCTATAAAGAATTTTTTAATATTAATATTAATATTTTTCACACAGAGAGGTTTAAAGGAGAGAAACTATCAAATATTATTATGTTTAGGAAAATTTCATTTACTAAATCTGTTAATTTTTTTTAAATAATTTCTGTAATATTTTCAATTGAGGTGGAGTATATCTTGTAACCTGTGTGGAATGTAGCAATAAAAATATTATTATAACAGCTTTGTCATAATAAATTCATCTCTCATACGGTTTCATTGTAACACAATAATTATTCTACTGTATTATGCTTTTTTAATAGCTATATACAATGTTATACAAAAATTATAAGAGAATCCACTTTCAATTATAAAAAAAAAGCTAAAAAGAGAATCCAAAACAACGAAAGTTATAATTGCAGTAGAAAATTATGAAAAGGTACTTTCGCTTTCAAATATTCATTGCCACCATTTCTAAACTATTAAATTTCTAGATCTTAGAGTGGTATTTTCATTTTATAGTAACGATTGTAATGTTGGATATGAGGTTGAATTAAAAAAATACTCACAGGCTTTCAAAAATCTCCACATTTTCAAAATTCTTAAAATATTTGAAAAAAATTAAAGATTATGAATTAGAAAGAGATAATTTGAAAAGTAAGAGCACACTGCATTATCTTTCATAAACTTAACAAGTAGTGAACGAGAGAGTAAAATAATTCGAAATTTGTTCGAAATTTGAAATAGAGGACTTCCGAATATAAATTTCAAAATTGAAGTATGCTTGGAAATATGAGTAAAAACGGTAGTAAGAACACATTCGTTTATTCCTAACAGGTCCACCTAAACTCAACATTTACAGATTTTGAAATTATTCAGTTCCTATTAATTGTAATTTTTATTCTTAGGATTGAAAACATTTTTTTTTTTATTTCAAAATCAAGTTTAGTATTTGAGTTTATTTTTGAAATTATTTAATAAATTCTGCTTTCTAATAATCATCCTAGAGTTGATTTGGTCAACTATTTTTCAATAATAAACGTTCAGATTTTTCTATAGAAAATAGAAAGAGAAAAAACAAAAGTAATTTTTTGTCAGACATTAAAATCATGTAGGTAGGTAAGTATTATAGCCTGAAACAGGTAATTTACCTAAATTTTTTTTTTACACATTCATATTTTAAGTTTATTACAATACAATAAAAGAAACGAAAAGGAAGGAAAAAAATAAATTCTCACGATTTTTCATTTTTAGTATTTTTTTTTTGTGTTAACTTTGAATTTCGGAATTTTTTAGTTTTTAATATCGTGGAAAGAATTCATTTTATGCTTATTTTGAAATTCATATTAATTTTTTTCTTTAATTTTTAAAAACGAAAACGCGATTTAATTCGTATTTTGCTCTAATCTTTGGGTTCCTCCCTATCTTATATCTTATATGTTTTTAGAACGAAGAATTTATTCTATTATGGCAACCATGAT